GGGGGGGGGGGGAGTTTATCTAGTTCTTGGCACGTTTATCTTAATGCAGTTGTCTCTTCTTCCTCCCTTTTCCCCCCTGCACTTGCTTAGCTCTTTGCACTTAACAATATCCCTCTTACTTCACTGGATTGAGCAAGTAGTCGTATCTGACGGAACAAATACTTGATGTATTAATTGTGTAATTTCTCTTAAACAGTACAAAATGGCTAGGGTATACAGTCACTCCAAACCAATTTATGTTAAAATGCTTTGTGGATATTGGTACGGGGGGGAATCTGTGCTGCACCTTGAATCGATTTAAATGGGCACAGCTAAACATTTGTAACTCTCAATAAAATGCTGTTTTATTAACATCAGTGTTTGGTGGGTTCCTGTTTCCTGCTAGTAAACTGGAGGTGAACTTGGAGTGCAAGTGATAAATCTATTGACAGGGCTATTATAGAGTCCTATAAGTAAATCCTCCAGTGGAAGGGCACAAGCACTGCTTCCAAGCCGTGTGAAATCCTAGGCCACTGAATAATATCTGCTTTCATTGCATCAGATAGTACCTATTCTAATCCTGTTCACTTAATTTTCTCAAAATATATAATATTGCCAGAAAAATAACTTATCCAGTCTTGGATATAGCATTGCTGCTCCAAATAGAAGCCCTTTTTTTAAATGTGTACTTGACAGAAGAAGCTGTGTATAGACCAGTCAAAATGCCAACACTGCACCTGCACTGTGTAACCAACAGGCATTTAAGCCTTTTAAAACTTCTCCTGGTGAAGAAACTGGAAAACAGGTGCGATGCTTGCCTACTGAAATGAGGGGAGGTGGGGAATGACTATCCAAGTACAACTAGGTCTGGGGTTGCTTCTGCCTTTATCCAAAACTGTTGTAGCCTTGGCTGCATTTATTCCCATCTAATTAAAAACAGTATGGCTGGCTAGCCACGCTCAGGAGTGACTGGGATATTAACTACCCTCCAAGTCTTCCAGTAGTTGTGGTGTGTGTGTGTGTGTGTGTTGTTGTTTTGTTTTTTTCCTGACTCTGGACTGGAAGAGAGAAAATAACCTGTTGAGGCTCATTCTGCTGCAAATGGCCAACAAGAAGTCAAGTCACTAAGTACCCAACACTATCCTCTGTACACAGAATATTCGGTGAATATTCAAGTACAAGAGAATCCCCCAACCATCTGAAAAGAGGTATGAGGGGGGCATTACCCAATCTAGCTCCATGATGCCATTTAGAAATTCAGTATAAAGGGAGATGGGCTGTATCTTGCCCCACTGTGCCTTCTTGCTTTATTATTTCAACTGTGGAAATTTTGTGCCTAACGCTCCAGCAGTGCTCAAGCAGAATTATGAGCAAGTGAAATGTCTCCTCCTACTAGCCAGGGCTCTGTAATTCTGCCCCGGAAAGGAGAGAAAGGTTAGCTCTCCCTTGGGGCACACTCTCCAACTTGTAATGTTCTCGATCAAATGTTGCTGTAATAATAAAGCCTTGGTAGGAAGAAACAGCCAAGGGCAAATTAGAAAATAGGAGTTGTGATAACTTCACATTTATTTAAGAAGTGACTGTGTTCCACTGTATGTAATGCAGCCAACATATACACTTTCCTCTAGAGGAAGAGTGCCCATAAATAACATGTTTCCTTACACCAAGGAATGGACTGTATCTGTATATAATCAACCAAGTGAATGGACAAAGAGTCACAGTGGGAGCCAAAACTCAATATGAAAACAGTGTCAGAGAAGCCCCTGCAAGTCCTACCGATGACCCACCCTTCTGTTTGCCATCATACAAAATCCTTGTAGCACCTGAGAAATGTTATGCTGAAAATCTGGTTTAAGAAAGTATTTACTTATTCCTAACAGGACTGCTGGAAAAGTTAATCTAGAGAGCATCTTGAGTCCTTCATCTTTGAGTATGTAGCCCTGGGAATTAGTACAGACAGTGAGGCTGGCTTCTTTTTAGTAAAGCGCTGCCTCTCGTATGGAGACTCGGGACCCTGTAGAAACAGCTGGAAAGGCAAAGGATGTGCAGCCAAAACGGATCTCTGCAGAGCACCTGTAATTATTCCCTAGGCCTGCTGTGTTCTAAGAATCAGTGCTTTGAACACTGCCAATTTATGCTGGCCTCCATCTGTATTTAAATCATGGATTAACTTCAATTAATGGCCAAATATCTTCAAAGGTCAATATTTACCATCTGCTGCCTCTGTTCTTCAATCACGCAGAAAACCAACAGCGAGTACACACAAGCTTTGTTGCAAGAAAACTAGAAACCAGGAAAATCTTGACAAGAGTAATCGCAGCATCAGCTGAAAGGGCAGAGGCCCTTTTCTTCCTGGACCAGTCTAGGCCTTGATGACAGCAGAAAGCAAGAACTGTCAGAGCCACGTTACAGCTGAAACCAACCTTCCTGTTTTCATAGCAAAGGGTCAGGGAAAGGAATGAAAGGGTGGAATCTGGAACCTGTTTTGATGTCATACAATAGGGGAGCCTATTTCTGAAATATTAGGGTGTTTACTTGGTCCCATCTAGGGTCTGAAAAGGACTTGTCTTTGTATCCTTGCATTTGAGGATCATTCATGCTTTAAGGGAGGTTTGTCTATGTGGTTTGTGCCTGTGATGATGGGCTTAATGCTTGCTTCTCCTCCCACACAGTAAAGAGACTAATGGTGGATCAGTGACTGTGACTTCTGTGACACAATGATGGTGATTATTTGTAGCTGGAGACATCAATCTAATCTATAACAGCATTGAAATGTATAATTACATGAATGTCACTTGCAGGCAGAAGAAAACAGGTGACAGGGATCAATTTTCACCCTAAACTGGTTCATGTAACATAGTACCGCAGGCTATCGTTTTGCAAGCATTATTCCTAAATTACAAGCCTACTTGCACACAGTCTGCTGTACAGCTGTTAGTTTGTCAATCTACATCATGCATTGTTAAGTGATCATCAATTTACATGAACAAATGTTGTACCATTTTGCATTTCAGTTCTATTTTATTTTTAATATTTAAATCAGAATGCCAAATGAGCCCACATTAAAAAGGCAAAACTTTTAATTTTCAACACAGTGGCTCAGCTGTACAGTGTTTCAGAAGCTAGAATAAGGAACAGAATCAAAGAATAACAGAGAAGCAGGATTGGAAGTGACCTTGAGAGGTCATCTAGTCCGGCCCCTTTCCAAACTACCCTTTGCCTCCCATCTGTAGCCAAACCATCCTATACAAATCTGATAGCTAACCTCTTAGCAAGATACACAGTCAACCCTGACACACAACCCAAGACATAACACCCTAACCTGCCACAGGTAAAGCAGGGGACCACAGTGGCCA